TGAGCCTCAGTTCTCATGGTATCTGGGCTCAGGGCTTTACCCACTCTCCAGGTTGCTTGTGTTGACCGTTAGGTGGTGGTGGTTTACCTACTCTTTCTTTGCACACCCTTCCCAATCAAGAGACCTCCTTAACGTGGCCCTTCCCAAAAAAGAGTCCTAAAACTACCATAGACCCAGAACTTTCCACAAGCTGGGCCCTGTTTCCCATGTACATTAGTCCAATACAGCATCTCAAAGAGATTCAGAAAGTTCAAGTAGTATCAGCATCATTCCCTTCCACAGTTGAAGAAACAGATACAGGGAGGCTAAGTAATTTATCTGAGGTCACACAGCAAGTAAGTGGCAGAACTAAATTAACACTTAGACCAAATTCACGGAGCACTAAGACAAAATTCCTATTTCTATTCCTGCCTTAAGCCGCCTCTCTGCCTGGCCCACTGATCTCCATGTTAGCTGTGAGGTATGATGGCCAATCTTTGGGAAAGAGACTTTGGCCAGGACTCACTCCTATGGCTGGTGTCTCAGAGCCTCCTGGCTGCTCTAGGCCAAGCTATTATACTGTTCTCTGAGAAATGCCTTGTCTTGGTCACCCGGCCAGGTCTGTTCGTCTATCAGCACCAGCAGAGGGGTGATCTTCCAAACGCCCTGAGCTGCTCTGTCGGAATGCTGACTGCTGTGTTTGGGTTGTCCCTTTACAGATGTCTCCCCTAGTAGCCCACACACTCCTGGGTGCCAGAGGCGAGCTCAGCATGTGCCTGTGTTCCCACCTTGGCACCTTGAGGCCTCACATGAAGTAAGCCCTCAGGAAACAGTTATCCAGTGATTGGAAACTTAGACTGAATGTATGGGACCCTGACCATGGGCCTCGCCTACAAGCTGGGTGTGTGTGTGTGTGGTGAGGGGGGAGTGAAAACAGAAACCTCTTGGCCTAGATATTTGGAATAACATGGTCAGACTCTAGATATATATGTATGTATTTTCAGACAAAATTTAAGCCTGAATTCTTCCAAGATCAAATTAAGCTGACAGCTTCCCAGAGCTGCTTTATAGTGATGCTTCCATAATTACACTGGCTCGAACGTTTATTAAATCTTAGAGTGGTGAAAAGGCCACCAGCTTTGATGTTAAATTAGACCCGGGGTGGAATTCCAGCTGTACTAGAGGATTTCAAAATACCTATAGGATAAAAGGGTCATGAACACACTTGGTGAAAAACAGACACAGGTAGAAGTGAAGGAGACCAAAATAATAATAATAAGAAGAAGCAGCAGCAGCACACTCAGCCCACCATGCAAGGTGGTGACCTGATCACTAGGCGTGAGGCACCAGCCTAGAGCCCTGCAACACAGTCTGAGTGGTCCAGCTCTCACCTGCTCTCCAGCCCCACCCTTTGTTTTCTTTACTCCAGCCACTCTGGCTGCCTCCCACTGTCCCTCCCACCACAAGGCCTGCTCACGTACTGTTCCCTCTGCCCATGATTCCCTTTGCTCTCTGCCTAGTTAGCTCCCTCACTTCCCCAGGGATGCCTTCCTGGCAACCCTGACTGTGAAGTTCCTCAATTTACCCAGTTTCATAGCACATTTGTGACATTAGACTCTGTTTCAACTTAATTTTTATTTTAAATTAATTTAAAAATTAATTGATTTTTATTTATTATCAGCTTTAATTTTTATCCTTGGTGAGTGTCTGCCTAATGTAAGCTCCAAAAGGAGAGAAATCAAGTCTGTTTGGGCTCACCATTACATCCTCTCATGCCTAGTGCAGTACCCAGTGCTAAATATTTAATGAACAGATTAGCTAATTAATTGAGAAATGCTGGTTTGGCTCCAGGTCAGCTGGCTTACACCAGTTCTCAGAGTGGAGCTGGAGTTAGCAGCAGCAGCATCTGGAATCTGGTTAGAAAAGCAATGTTGGGCCCCCTCAGACCTGCCACATCAGTTGCTTGGAGAGAAGGGGAAGGGAGGGTTACCCTGTGTTGTAAGAAGCCCTCCAGGTGACTCTGATGCACACACAAAGAGAAGATCCACTGTGCTCATTTCCTGATTCTGAATGCTCAGGTGAGACTTAAGAGGACATACTTGTGCAGATAAGCGTTCTCTTAGGCAGGGGCTAAGTTGATCATTTTAGATGAGCCTCAGAAACAGGCTGAATTTTAGCCATGGCTTGAGTGCTTTTGAAGGAAAAACTGACATCAGTACTCAACTGTTATGGGGTATGGGGCAGCCAGCTTCACGTCTGAACCCAGGAGATGCATGTGCAATTTCCTAAATAGTGGCACTATGAAAACAGGACTCATCTTTTGATGTGCACTGCAATGCCTAAACATCCCTGGGGGCTGAAGGTGAAAGTAGAAAATCTGAGATATTTGCTACGACAGGATAATGCTGCAAACTCACCAACCTGAGGAAATGCCATTCTTGTCTAAAGAGAGCAGGGCTCAGCTACAGTAGGAATCTCTGTGCATGAATATCTTCCCTATAATCTCATAGCCTTCTCCTCCTTTATAATATTTTCTAACAGTGGAAGCCAAATATACCTTTGTGAAATGCATTAATGAACAAATAGATCCATGAAAGGATGAATGAATAGAAGATGAGATCAACAAATGTTTTGTCTATTTAATGGAGTACAAAGGTGGATTCGCTCTGCACTTCAAACTCCCATTGCTATAGGAAGAACTTCTATTTAACTCTTCCTCTGTGAGTCAGTTTTAGGTTAGACCCAGTGTCTGGATCCAATAGATGTTTACATGTCAGATTAATGTGTCTTTATTTCTTCACCAGAATGGTGAAGGGAAGGGAGGAAAGTCAACTCCTGGTAGACCAGCCACCCCATGACAATGGGGAACAGATGGGTTTAGGAGTTTATTTCTAGCACCTTGGGCAATAAACAGTGCCAAAGCCCAGGAGGTGGATTTACCCCCAGGTCCTCACTGTTAAGACTTTCACGAAACTGGAAGCAACTAAAAATCTGGCTGGTCTAATACCAGGAGCTAGTGTGGGGTAGAAGAAGGATGATGGGACTCAGACCAGAGGGTTTGTATCTGGGTGTCTCACTCAACTTCTGAGCCTCAGCTCTCCCCTTTGTAAAGTAGAATGAGGATGCTTCTTTGTGTAAGAATGAAAGGAGCTGATAAATAAAAGGCTTGACCTACATTTGTCACATAACAGTTAATAAGTCAGTTAACAGTTCGTATTGTGGAGCAAGGGTTATATGCACTCTTTCTTGCTACTCCCAGAGCTCTCAAAGTTCCTGATTATGGGAGCCAGACGATATGCTACAGGAAGGGAAGAGAACTGAGTTTGGTTCTGGCCGACCACAGTATTTTGCTTTGTCTTCTCATCATTTAGAATCTCTGCTGAAGGTGTGGACATCGTGTTGGATTGCCTCTGTGGAGATAACACTGGGAAAGGGCTCAGTCTCCTCAAACCCCTGGGAACCTACATCTTATACGGTGAGTAGCGTAGCAGAGGCAGGGCCCGATCGGTGACAGGGAATGCTGCATGTGTGTCTATGGCAAAAGCACTGAAAGCAAAAACAAAGTAGCTTGATGTTTTCAGCTAGTGAGAGTGGAGATATTTCATTTCTTAATGTGTTTTATGTTACTATTGCCTTTTTTTGTTTTAAGTTTATATATTTCTTCCATGAAAGGGAGACACAGAGATAGACAGACACACTCAACAGGCCCTCCAATCCATGGTTCACCCCATCTCCTGTGATCCAGATCACAGGCATGGCACTTAGAGAGGTCCCAGGACACAAACCCAGGACAGTTCTCCTTTTTTTTTGGAGAGTTTTTGTTTGTTTGTTTGTTTGTTTGTTTGCTATAGGGCGTGTGCACTCGCCAGAAAGACAGAGACAGAGAGAGACAGAAAGTGAGAAATCACCCCCTAGGGGGATGGCCATGCTGCAATTCCTTCTCCTCCATCCTCCCCCCAGGATCTTGGGCGGACACACACACACACACACACACACACACACACAGCGGCATGAGTCTAAGCCACCAGGTCTGGGACTCAAACTGTGTTCAACTACATGGGAGTCCAGCGACATAGCCTTTACAGCAACTGCTGGTCCCCTCCTGGACATTTCTTATATGGCTCCAGTTGCACCACTGCCTCACCACTACTAATTATAAAAATTACATGTGCCTACTGCCCTATTGCCCACATGAATACTTTGTAAGGCAGAGAGAAGCCCACATAATTACCAAAATGATTTGAACCACCCAGTGACTTGGCCCATACAGGGCGGCACAGGTGGAAAACTTAAAGTTCCAAAAAATGAAGGCATAAAGGATCAGGGTGGAGGGAAGGAGGTAGGAAACGGGAGTTTTAAGGAGGTCTTCACTACCGGAGATGAAATTGCCAAGCACAGAACTCTTTCTCTGAATATCACCTGACCTCACGATCCAGACAGTAGCCCTGGATGGATGCAGACCTCATCTAGCCCTGTCTGCTTCTACATTTACTTCAACGCCCTTGGGTATGAGGAGGATTTATGAAAAACTATTGGGAACAGCTTTTCGCCTGTTAAATGAGGCTCCAGAGCCTCCCTTTTTTTTTTTCCTTTTCTGTCATTGTCATACCAATTAATTTAACTATGAGTTTCCATTAAGTCAAAAAAGGCATACAAGAAGCCTGCTAGCACATTCCAAAGCCAGGTGATGTTGGGGTTACCCAGTGTTTGAGATCCTTCATACCTTCTTTGCCCTGTAGACACAACAGAAACTGAGCCTTAACTCTGGATACCTCAGGAAAAAAGTCCTCCCTTCTCTGCAATTAACTGAGGAACTTATAAAGGAGATATTGGTTGTGGTATAAATATTCAGACATCATTTTGCCATCACTAGAGCATTATTAACAGATTGCCAGAGAGGGAGACAGAGAGGAAGGGAGGGAGAAACACCTTCGCCCCATGAGACGTGATCATGCCACACAATACCCTCTCCTCCATTTTCTTATCCTGTCATGATTTGGGGCATTCACACCACATGCCTGGTGTGTTTTTTAAGCCACCAGGGCTAGGATCTGAACTGTGGTCATCCAGGTGGGATCTCACTCCCTTGAAACTAAGCTACAGGGCCAACCTGTGCTCTGGTACTTTCAATAGTGGCTACATATTTCCCTGAAAGTAGATGTAAAATTTATTATTATTACTACTGTATTAATGATGATGAGAGAATGTACAAATCAATGCACAGTGTAGGAATACTGGATATGACTAACATACGAGTCAAATACAGACGGACAATTTATTCACCCTTCTTGTTTAGGAATTCTACTTTTGTCACGGTTCCATGGTGTCACTTTGGTGGGATTCAGCTTGATGATCTCCCGAGTATCTGATTCATTCATTTGGTTACTGAGCAGTCAAAGCCTAGTGCCGTGATACCTGATTACAGCCACCCCTTAAACACAGAAGCAGTGGTTAAACAACTGGCTACCTTTCTAGTTTGCTCAGACCATCTGCACTCTCAGTAGTGCTTATTCCGACTTGCAAAGCTCAGTATTTACACTACTTGACGCAAGTGGTTTCATCTCTCTGCCCAGAGCTCTTTTGAGCTGACGCATTGGTCACGTTATCTCCTTGGCTTCTGGACCTGTTTCCTTCCTCACCTACCTTCCTTTGTACCCCGTTGCCCCATCCATCTAAATCCTATCCCAGCTCTACCTCCCCAACAACTCAGCTCAGGTCAGAGTCAGACAAGCCCCATGCCTGTCACCTGCCAGGAAGTCAAATTCGGAATCATAAATTAGTTCCATCAGAAAGCTCTTGTCTCAGTCTCGAAGGACAGGACCAACATGACGTTCATCAGCTGATCATTGTACTAAAATGTTGGCCTTTATCATACTTCTCAGTACCCAATTTTCCAAAGTAATGACACAATAACCATGAGAAATGTCATTTCCTTTTTAATACAATGACATCTATTAAAAATAGTCAAGTTGGTCAGTGGGGGTGGCACAGCAGTGGTATGATGCTCTACCATGCTGAAGTCACATGGGAGAGTTCCAGGTTCATGTCCCAAGGTCCCCCAGTACATGCTAAATGTGCAGGTGTGCCTGCAATCCTGGCTGGCTGAGGCTTGGAGTGGATGTGGCATCAGGACCATTGGGGGGGTCTCTCTCTCT